TCTCAGTGGGACCTAGACCTCACCAGTTAGGTGAGACAGGCTAGCCAGCAAGTTCCATGACCTCCTTCTGTGTCTGCCTCTCCAGTTCTGGGATTACAAATATAGGCCAGCATACGGACTTTTACAAGGGTTGTAGATTTTACAAGGGAGTCGATTCTCATGACCTCATTGTATGTGAGAATGAATGCTTAAATGAAACAGAAAAAACACTCTCCATGCAATTAAAATTAAACAGTGGTACAAATTGGAATTTTCTGTGTTTAGACTGTGTGGGAAGTAACCTGTGTATCTGAGCGCACAGGTATGTTGTGGTTCACTTTTAGTTCATTGCCTTTTGAGAAACTAGGTAATCTATAAAGACAGGATTACTTGGAGGTGGCACAGTCCAAAAAGGTGGTCCTTGCGTCTGCTAATTATTTGGTGAGGACTATCCCTCTGTGTTGTAACATGACAGAGGCATTGCACAGTGTGATGGCTTGAATGAGATGTCCCCTTAGTCTTGGGCATTTGAATGGATGGTCTCCAGTTGGTGCTGCTATTTGGGGACGCTTAGGTGGCAGGGCGTTGCTGGAAGGAGTATGTAACTGGAGGTGGGATTTGAGGTTTAAAAACCTATGACTTTCCTAGTGCGCTGCTCCCTGATGGTTCAAGATGTGAGCTCTCAGTTTCCACCTCCTGCTCTCATATCATGGACACCGCCCCCACTCTAACCACAAGCCCAAATAAACTCTTCTTAAGTTGACTTGGTCATGGTGTTTATTTGCAGCCATAGAAAGGTAACCAATACACGTTAAGACAGCAAGTGTGCTAGCATAGCACATCTCTCTTCTCTTAAGGAGTCACCGATGTGATCAGGAAAACCCCACCCTCATGACTGATGGAGCCCTAATCTCTCAGAGCCCTGTCATCATACTGTTAGTGTGCAAATATGAGGATTACATTTCAACACATGAACTTTTGGTGACACTTTAAACTGTAACACACAAACATATATGTAGATATGCGTATGTACATATTTTATCCTGACAATTCTCATATCCAGAAAATATAGGTAGCTCTTACTAGCAGGGCAGAAATGTGAATATCCATGCTGAGAAGGGAATGTGCAAGCAGTGAGCTCAGGAAAGGTGCTCTGCAGGGCTCTTCTCAGAAGAATGCAGATTAGAGTCCTCATGCAGTACCAACCCACAGGATGGCAAAAATAGAGCAGCGAGTGGTGGGGATCTGGAGCGGCTGTTGTCCTCCTACGCGGAGGGGCTGCAGGTGGGAGTGGGGTTTGATAACCAGCTTGAGAAGCTGGCGGCATGCCCGTGTCTTATGACTCACAGTTTCTCTAGATACTGTTCTGTGGTACGCATATGCCTAGGTAAATAGTCAAGAATATCAGCTTATTTCTAAATAGCCACAGAATAGAATGTCTCTAGGTATCTATAAATAATAGAATGGTTAAATTATTTTAAGACCAAACAATAGAATATAAAAAAAAAAATGAGAAGGAACACACAGAGATAAGTTTCACAGAATGATCATGAATGATTACAGTCAAAAAGCATAAAACTCCATGTATGTAAAATTTAAAACTAGACCAACTATAGTAGCAAATGCCTATACTCTCAGCATTTGAGAAACTGAGGCAGTAGGCTGGAGAGTTCAAGGCCATCTTGGGCTTTAAAGTGAGATGCTGCCCCCAGCCCACCAAAAAGCAAGTAGTATAAAATGATTTTTGATAAAGCCAAACAGGACTGACAAAAACAAAACAAAATAAAAAAAAACACGATGAAATGATTCCTCATGATGCTCTGCTGTACTCATAGATCAGTACCTAGCTCAGTTGTCAGCAGAGAGGCATCGTCCAGCAGCTGATGGGAACATGCAGAGACCCACAGTCAAACATGAGGTGGAGCCAGGGGAATCCCACAGGAGAGGAGGAGAAAGGATTGTAGGAGCCAGAGGGGTTGAGGATACCACGAGAACTTGGCCCACAGAATCAACTAAGCTCACAGAGACCTAAGTGACAGTCATGCCCTCTGGATGGGTCTGAGCTAGGTCTGCTGTATATATATATATTATGGTTGTGTAGCATGGTGTTCTTGCAGGACTCTGGGAATGGGATGTCTCTGACTTCTACCTGCTCTTGGGGCCCCTTTCCACCAACTTGGTCGCCTTGTCCAGCCTTAATATGTCTGGTCTTACTATAATTTGTTGTGCCATGTTTGGTTGATTGCCCTGGAGGTGCTCTTTTCTGAAGTGAAATGGAGGAGGAATGGATCTGGGGAACGGGGAGATGGGGTTGCTGCTGAGAGGAGTAGAGGAAGGGGAAACTGTGATTGGGATATAATATATGAGAGAATTTTTTTATTTATTTTTATTTTTTAAAAATATTTATTTATTTATTATGTATACATAATTCTGTCTGCATGTATGCCTGCAGGCTAGAAAAGGGAACCAGACCTCATTACAGATGGTTGTGAGCTACCATGTGGTTGCTGGGAATTGAACTCAGGACTTTTGGAAGAGCAGGCAATGCTCTTAACCACTGAGCCATCTCTCCAGCCCGAGAGAATTTTTTAAAAATATAGGAAAAAGTGATTTTTGTTAAAGTATTAGAAACCAAGATTATGGTTACTTTTGGGTAAGGAATTGGTCCAGGGTACAGCTACAGGCTGGACTTCCCACAGCCCACTTCTTAAGTGCAACAAGTTTACTAGGATGCTTCCTTACACTCAGGGAACCTCTTGTGTTTACTTACTCAACACCAAATAAAGTTATGAGCAGGGCAAATCCTGTGGAGACAGTCTGTTGCTTCAACATGGCCATTAGACACACCATCCTCAGGCCTCCGTATGCTACCTAAAGCTGTTAGGTCCTTTCATGGAGTCTTACAGGTGTGAGTGAAACGTGGGAAGCTGTACAAATGTCATGGACACAGAGTCTGAGGTCTTAGCTCAGTTCCTGGCATACAGTTAGCAAATAACAATTACTAAAAGGCTAAACCTGATCACTTGGGGCCAATTTGCCTCTGTATCCCTGAAAAGTAAATGTCCATCTGTGTGACCTGTGCTAGGTTGTAGAAGACATGAATTCCTCCCTGTGGGCCTTGAGCACTGACATCAGTTTTGTTTCCTGTTTGTGGACTCGCTCTTCTTCCTATATGGTCTCATTTGGATTGGGCAGAGCTGGGAGTCCGTTTCATTTGAATATCCTTGCATAACATTGTCTGTGGTATTTTCTGCTATATATAACCACTTGAAGCAGGTTCAGTGTCTTAGAGACTAGTCAGCCTTAGGGGAGATCCATAGAAATCTGAAAAATAAGACTAAGCAGGCTTTATGGTTTTGCTTTTGTTACTGTGGGCTATTATTATTATTTAAATCTTGACACAACAGCCTATCAAAAGTGTGTTTTAACTCGGTGTGATGGTGCAAGCCTGTAATGCCAGCTCTTGGTAAGCCAAAGGAGGACCACCGAGCTCAAAGCTAGCCTGGGCTACATAGTGAGCCCTTCTGTTGTAAAACAAGGGCCAGTGAGTGAAAACACGTGCTGCCAAGCCTGACCCTTGAGTGTGACCCTGGGACCCACCTGGTAGGAGGAGAGAACCAGCTCCTCCGTGTTGTCCTCAACCACGTGTACACCATGGCGTGCTGGCGTGCTCGCATGCTCCTGCTCATTTGTGCAAATGTGCACACCAAATAAATAATTCACAGATTAATTAAAAATAAGCCATACCCTCGCCTAAACTATCCTTTTTTTTAAAAACTTTATCTTTTTACAAGAAATGAAAACTATAAATATCAGTGCTTGGAATGTACCATCTCATTGAAATTTATTAAAACATCAAGCAGTAAAAATGAAATAAAAATAGAAAGGACTGCTTGATACACTGTACGAGCACAGCAAGATCCTCTGCCAACTATTTAGAATACTTCCAGCCATAGTTTTCTCAGAGAAAGGCACAGAGGTCCCTATTCTGAGCTAAATAAGAGATGAACTGTTGACCTGAGATTGCCCAGGTTTTTACTAAAGTCCTCTTCTAGTTGCATAAGGTAGCACTGCCTTTCCCGAATGAGAAGCATATACCTGTGCCTTAGATTTTTCGTAGGTCTTGTGTCTTTGTTGACCTATCCTGTGACTAGGATATGAACGTAAAATGCAGGATATTGGAACTGAGAGAAATCATTGTTGTTGCTAGTAAGACCCAACCAGCTACTCACATGCTCTTGCGGCTGTTTCGGCGCTTCTCCTGACCCACCCAGTACAATTATATGTAACTTATGGAGCAAGGATTTTTAGGGTCAGGTTTTATTTTTTCCTATGTGAATGGATCTGTCTATGCAGCTAGGTTTTTGGTTTCATGTTGCAGAGCAGCACAGATACTGAACCGACAACCAGGGAGCCTATATGGGACTGACCTAGGCCCTCTGCATGTGTGTTACAGCGGGAACTTGGTCTTCTGTGGGGGTCCCAACCGTGGGAACAGAGGCTGTCTCTCACTCTTTTGCCAGCTTCTGGAACCCCATTCCTCATACTGGGTCATCTTGCCCAGCCTTAATATGAGGGAAGGTGCCTGGTCTACTGCAACTTGATGTGCCATGATTGGTTGATATCCATGGGGGACCTGGTCTTTTCAGAAGGGAAGTGGGGGTAGGAGGCTAGGAGGAGGGGAGGAAGGAGAAACTGCAGTAGGGATGTAAATAATGGTAATAAATCATTTAAAAATCATAACCTCATCTTAAACTGTATATACACACAGTTATTCATTTTCATTATATTTACTTATATACAAAATGTATTGGGAAAATAAAAAAGAATGCAGAGTAATTCAGTCTTACTGCATGAACTATGTTTAGCTAGAGCCAAGTAAAAGCAGATTTATGTAAAAATTGGGGTGGCCATCTTTAATGAGAGTCACCCTGGAGGCTACCACTTGTCTTGTCTGTAAAGAGGTTTTCAAGTCTGGGATTTTCAAAACTCCTCGTCTCTGTGTGATTTGTATTTTTCAGCTGAGAGAAGAAAAGTTACAGGAAGAAAAAACTTGTGAAGATAAGATCCACAAAGTCCTGCAGGAGGATTCAGAAATGGGGAAAAGGAAAACAGATGAACAGAAAACTAGAGATGAACCAGTAGTGCTGAAAACAAGTCTGGAGCAGGTCAGTGGGCACCTGGGTGGACATCTTCCCAGTCTACCGTCCAGCCAGGGACGTGGGTCTGAGAGCTCTGTGCCGCCTAGGAGTAGGGAAGTGCTTCCTGTCCGGATGGAGATGGAGGGAAGCAGTTTTGAATGGGACAGTGACAGCCTGGGTCAGTGTGCTGCATGTGATAAGATTTGTATGTATACCATCATATTGACGTATGTGCCGATCTTTGCATTAAACTTTATACATCTTAGACTTGAACATTTCCATTACTGTTTTTTATTATTTGTATGTGTATAAGCAATGCACACCTTGACACACATGTGGCAGTCAGGAGATAAGCTGTGAGACTTAGTCTTCTCTTTCCATCACGTGGGTCCTGGGGATTGAATTCAAATCCCACCAACCTATCTGACTGTACCAAGAAAGTACGTTTTGAAAATGTAATTATATTTGCATAGAAAAATAGGAGTTTAGTGTCAATTCTAGTTACAGTGGTTTGAACATCTAATGATTGCTGAATATTTTTGAGTCATATCTTTTAAGTATTTTTATATAGCCTTGTTAAAATTTCAGGTTACTTTTTTTTAATGGGTTGAAATTAATAAAGCCTTAACATATGTGAAGATAGGCAACATAAGAGAGTAGGAAAATGGGGGGTGGGTACTGGAGAGATCGCTGATCTTGTAGAGGAACTAGGTTCGATTCCCAGCACCCACATGGTGGCTCACAGTATCCTATAACTTCAGTTCCTGGGAATCTGATGCCCTTCTCTGACTTCTATAGGAACCAGGCATGCATGTGGGGGGTGCAGGGGAGAGAGCGAGAGAGAGACTAAAAACAGCTCTCCACAGCCAGCATTGCAGCTCACGCACTCTGGCCAAGTTTTTTCCTGTCTACCTTCTGAATTAGTTTGTATAAGGTATTTTTTCTTAGTTTCAGAAACAGATGTTTTTAAAGCTGTCTTGGGTCAGTGTGTTGCTGACTGTCATATGCAGATGACATATGATTCTGGTTGTAATCTTAGTCATCACTGATTATTATTAAAAGTAATCACTTGGAAACAGACCATGATGACATACATCTGTAACAGCAGCACTTGGGAGGGTGAGGCAGGAGATTTGCAGTTAAATTGTCCTGAGCTCTGTAGTGAATTCTAGGCCTGCCTGGGCTATATTATATATGTAGCAAGGCTCTTTCTCAGAACAATAAGAATAAAACAAATTTTCAATCCTGGAAAAGATTCCATTTAACAAGCATAAAATGCTGTGTGCTCTCAATGGAATGCACCCCAGGAGCTTTGAAAGACCCGCTGCTTGTAAGGATACATGTGCATTAGCTTAGAAGGCAATAGGATGCATGCTGGTTTGACCGCAGCCCCAGCTGTGCCTCTTTCCAGTCGTAATGTCCTCAAACAAACAATCCCAAAGCCCCCAACTCTTGAGAGCTCAGTCCTTCCATAGAAGGAGCCTGCATACCTAGATTTCCTCCAGGAACAGGTCTCTAATACTGATTTTAAGTCACAGCTGGACATCATAATTATTTTGCTTTTAGCACTACTGTTTTTAAAATAGAAATCAGTTAAACCAGCGCAGTTCACTTCTCTAAAGGAATCAGAAAATGCAGATCTTCAGATTCCCTTATTGGCAGTAGCCAGGTTCACAACATTGTCAATGCAAAGCACAGTGAGTAACATCCAACTTGTTTTGGATTTTTATAATCCTGCCCTTTTCTACTTTCCTTGTACATTTTTGAGGACTTTTAAATGGCTTAATAGTTTTTAGACTAATGCAGGCTTGTGCTCTCAACTACTTGAGAGACTGAAGTCAGAAGATTGCAATTTCATGATCTGATTGGACCTCAGAGTGAGTTCAAGGCTAGCTTGGGCAAATCAGTGAAACTGTCTAAAATTAAAATCCCAACAAAGGCTAACAGTGGAGTAGAAGAACATTTGACTAGCATGTGCAAAGCCCTGGGTTCAGTCCCCTGTTCTAGGGCAAAGCAAGTGCTTGATCTTGAACAAACAATTTTATTATATTAAAATTGGGCCCAAGAGAATCTGAATAGTCTCAATGGAAAGCCAGCCAGTGAACTCTTTGTATTAAGGGTGTGTCCTGATGAGACAAGTCATTACACTTTCATACCACCAAACCTCATCGACCCTGCATTTCTTTGAGAACTCGTCAGCCAGCACTCAGGTCCTTCCTGGAGCATGATTCTAGCTTGTCTTTCCATCCTTGAGTATGCTCCAAGACTCTTGGGAGCAGAACCATTTGCTGCCAGTTTATACATTCTGCTTCCCTTTTTTCTGGTGCATTCTCAACAGCTTGCTGCTGGAAAGACTGCTCTGTCTGTCTCTCTGGGTCCAGTTTAAAAGCTGTCACCTTCAGACTGGTAGACCTCCTTTCCTTATTCCACCCTCAATACTTAGTGACTGCTACAAGATTCCATGCTCCCATCATAGATTTTGATTGTTTGTTGACATGTGTCTGACCCAGTTAAAAACCTCCTGCCATTTCTTGCCCATCACAAGTTTTTAATGCATGCTCATGAAATTATTAAACTCTGAGAGAAGAACATACTCTTTCTAAGAAAGGAGAGATTTGGGCAGTGGTGGAGCACACCTTTAATCCCAGCACTCAGGAGGCAGAGGCAGGCGGATCTCTATGAGTTCGAGACTTGCCTGGTCTACAAGAGCTAGTTCCAGGACAGGCTCCAAAGTTACAGAGAAACCCTGTCTTGAAACCCCAAAAACAAACAAACAAACAAATAAAATAAAAATAAAAAAAATTAAAAAAATAAAAGAGAGATTATGATCTATTATTTTCTGAAATAGAAATAAAATGTTTAAATTGTTTTCTTATAGTACCATTAATCTAATAATGTGAATTGTTGGAAAACAGAACAGTAGAGCTAACAGTTATATTAAAGATTATAAATCAGAAGTGAAAGATTAATTATCCTACAACCTAGAGTAACGCCTCTAGGCATTGTGGTAATTATCCTAATCTGACTTATTTTCTAAGTGCAATGTGCACATGCATCTATACGTGTGCATGCATACACACAGACACACACCCCCTTGTGTATGCACTACATGTTCTTTTCATTCAGAAATGTTGATTTGCATGCAAACCGCATTATAGCTCCTTTTTAGTTCATTATAAATTGTGCCTTTCCGTGTAAATAAAGAATTCATATCTTTCTTCAGTTGTCCCCTACTACAATTTGAGAATTTTAATCTCCTGTAGATATCTTGCTGTCTTAAATGCCACTGTGATAAATTACTAAAAGGAGACCAGGTGAAGGAAGTGAGCTTTGAAGCTGTTTTAGCATGTGTGTTGCTCAGTTGTCACCACCCTGGACAGTGTGGTTTAGATGAACTCCTTTCGGTGCTGTATGAAAGCCACACCTGCTTCCCCTGACCCACCAGCCTGGGAGGGACGGTGTGTTTTTAGGGTCACTGCAGACTTTTTATTTCCCCGTGCTCTGCACTGTCTTAGGCTTGTCTATATCCAACACGAAAGATGAGAGGTAGACATTTCTTAGCTAATGTTTCTAGGTTGTGGGCATGGAAGCGTGGAGACATGGGTAGCTTTTGTCTATGTAGATATTTGCCATTTAGTTTTAATAATGCAATTTAGTTTTCATCAGTTAAAAGGAATTTGGTAAATAGTATAAAACTAAGCTTTTTTTCTTAATACTATTTAAATTTCTAAAAGTAAAGTCTATTTTTTGAGACCTTGCCTGTTAGCTTATTTAATATTTTATCAATTTAGCAGAATCTTTACAGTAGTGAAGTGGTTCTCAACTTTCCTAATTCTGTGACCCTTGAATACAGTTCCTCATGTTGTGGTGACCCCAACCTTAAGATTATTCTCGTTGGTACTGCATAACTATAATTTTGCTACTGTTATGACTCATAATGTAAATACTTTGGAGACAGAGGTTTGTTAAGGGGATCATGTCCCACAGGTTGAGAACCATTGATTTAGAGACAATGAAAATGGACGAAAGATGAGCCACTGACTCTAGAATGACACTGAAAGGGATGGGGTCCGAATAGTCCCCAGTTTACATGGTACCAAACTGGTTATGAAAAGAGACCAAAGTACATAGAGAGTGCCATTGTTTACCTGTGTTGAGTCTGTCACCTCTCTCCCAGAGTTGGAAGAAAATATCAAATGTAATTTGATAATGGGTTAATTTGATTTTCAGTTAAAGCCACATTTGCAATTAGTATTTTCAGAAAGCATTTCTAATCAAATTGGAACTCAGAAAGTGAGAGATTGAACTTTGAAACCATAGCTACGATAGATCCGATGGGAACCCCAGTCTTATCTCCCTTGTCTCCTTGCCAGTGTCCTGCACGTCTCTCGGATTCAGAGAATGAAGAACCTTCTAGGGGCCAAATGATACAGACGCATCGCTCAGCCTTTGTCTCCAAGAACAACTCCTACTCCTTAGCTTTCCTGGCAGGGTAAGAACTGAATTCAGAGTTCTTTCATGTGGGGGTGAGAGGGTCTTCGGACAAGTAGGGGGAGTAAAAGGAGAAGGGAATTAATTATTAATAGATTATATATGGATGGTGGTGGTGCATGCCTTTAATCCCACTCTCTGGAGGCAGAGGCAGCAGATCTCTGTGAGTTCGAGGCCAGCCTGGTCTACAGAGTGAGTTCCAGGACAACCAGGACTGTTACGCAGAAAAACCCTGTCTTGAAAAAGAAAAAAAAAAAAACGATTAGAGAGGTGTGTGTGTGTGTGTGTGTGTGTGTGTTGTAAGGTTAACCTCTAGTGGTGTTCCTCAGGAGCCATCTACCTTGTTCTTTAAGACAGGGTACCTGATTGGCCCGAAACTTGGCAAGTGGGCTAGGTGAGCCTCAGGAGCCCAGGACCTGTCTGTCCCCACCTTCCTAGCATTAGGATTGCAAGTGGTCTTTGAAATCAAGCTCAGTCTTTTTAGCTCCTGAATTTTATAGAAAAGTATTTACTCATTTCTGGCATCCTCTAGGTAGGATTATGTTAATTTTGTAGCTGCAAAGTGTGACCCTTTCTCCTATGGAAATGATGAGTCTCCTTCAGTTTGACAGTATCTGTTGACTCTCCCTCTGGACTGGAAAACTGTTAGAAGGAGTGAGACCTGGGTTGTTTCCTTTCCTTGCCTAGATCTAGTTTCAGGAAGTTTTTTAAAATCCTGGTCAAGGAATTTCTAAGTCCTGGGGAGGAAAAGAAAGCAGGGTTGGATGGCTGCTTGATCCTGGAGGAATACAGAAGGGCAGGCAGTGGGTAGGCAGGGAGTCATCAATTGTTCAGTAGATGTTTTGGAAGGGACTGTTCTATGCTGTACTCCATTTTAATATAGGCTATGAAGCACAATCTTGACCGCATTTTGTTGTCTATTTTACTTAAAGCCGGCACGCTAGGGCTCATTTTTTTCTTTCTTGCCAACACTATATAGTAGCTGTCTCTCTTGCTGCCTCTGGATACACATGGACTTTTCTCTCCTGGAGAAGTTACTGTAGTTACTCTGTGTGTAACTACATCAAACTGCCAAGTTTAGTAGCTGTGTTAGAGGTTCTGCCCTGGAAGGTCTCTTATGCAAAATATGTCCCTGAAACCTTATGTATGTTCTTCTGGAGCAGTTTGGTGTCCTTTGTTGAAGATTTCTAAGAGTAAAAGTCACCAGATCTCCTCTTCTTGTAGGTGCTGTCCCTGGAGTAACAGTAACTCCTGCAAGACCTTCCCTGGATGTATATTCGCTTGTGTGGTATTTGCTGAATGGCCATTTGTCCTAGACAGTTTGCTAGGTTGATAGAATCAGAACCCAGAAAGTGGGTAAGCCTGTGTCACACACTGTGACAATGATAGGCTCACACTGCATGTGAGCAAAAAGTACAGATGTCCTAACACTACAATTCAAAATAGTCATCACTTCCTGAGTATTTATGCCCAATCATAGTTATATCATAATGATTATAAAACAGGAAGAAAATAAAATCATTTTTTCTAATAAATCCAGAAATTGCAATTAATATATTATCATGTTAAATAACCTAAAAAATAATGTTGCTATACCCAAGGGGCATTATCCCTGTTAGAGTTCCTGCTGAATGGCTGACTCTACCCTTGCACTGGTTTAATGCATCCTTCTGAAAGAGGGCCTGAAGATTAATATGCCATTGCACAAAGGTCTTAAAAGTTACTCTCTCTTGGAGAGGCTTGCACAAGCACAGAGGAGTGTGCTTGGAGAACATCTCTTCCATATCTTCTTTCCTGTCTCCTGGCCTATCCTTGCTGTGATGGGACCAGTCAATAGGAAAACACTGACATTAGCCTTTATTAGCTCACATTAAGGTCAGCATTGTATAACCTTGGTTTCAGGGCTCATCTTACAAATACTCAGGTCAGGTGAGGTTCAGTTGTTAGTTTGGTTTTTAGGCAGTTAATTGGGTATTATATGTACATGACCAACCCACAAAGCATCATTGGAGTGTATCTCCCATAGCTGTCATGTCCAAGTCAAAGGCTCCTGCAGAACCTAAGCAGCTGCATGAGAGACTAACAGGGGCATTCATGAGATAGCTAAACACTAAATTCTTCCAGAGCTGTAAGTTGGTCACTTAAACCAGCATACGAGGTATATGCAGACACACCTGCAAGGCCTCACAAGGTCGATGGAAAAGTGGGTCTGCAGCAGGTGTCCTCAGAATGAGAGGCACCCATGTCACCGTGGAAGATTTTTAACAGGAACATTAAAGAAGATACTGGAGAAGCATTGTCATAGTCACTGTTCTTTTGCTGTGACCACGGCAGCTCTTATACAAGGAAACATTTAATTTGAGGCTTGCTTAATTTCAGAGGTTTGGTCCTTTATCCTTGTGGTGGGAAGCATGGCAATGTGCAAGCAGCTGTAGTTACGGACAATGAAAAAAATAGCTTGATAGTAGTTACACAACAGCCTAACTACCCTTAAAATAGTTAAAATGATAAATTAGCTTGATAGGAGTTATACAACAGCCTAACCACCCTTAAAATAGTTAAAATGGTAAATGTTGTGCTGTTCATGTTTTACCACATAAAGACACTAGCATTGCTTATAGATTGGTGTTATTTCAAATGTGTTTTTTCTATTGAGTAACAAAAACTGAACAGGCTGTTCCTATATAACAATTTTAGACTTTTTATAGCTAATTTTAATCAAATGAAGCTGTCATTTGTCCTTATCTGTGCTATGCACAGAAGTGCACAGGCAGTTGTGAAAGGAGAGCTGAGGGGCAAGTTCACTGGTAGATTCTGGCTGTGGATACTATGAACAGATCAACTAATTTTTATAAAAGAAATTCAAAGAAAAGAGGGCTTTGTGGTCATTTGATGAGGCTGTGATCCTTTCAGATAACTAGAAGTTAATCAGAGATCATTTCTGAATATATTATTAACTGGAAAAATTAATTTGAAAGCTAAGTACGATATATAACAAAGCTAAAATTAAAAAACTTGAAGTTTAATTATTTTTAAAATCATTATTTCCCTTTATTTCTCATTCCTATTTCCCCACTAAACTCAGACTGAAACTGTGATTCTAGAAGCTCTCGTGGAAACTGTCTAGTTGACAGGTATATTTTCTCTGGGTAAGAGCTCCATGTTGGGCTGCACTGCTCTTGTTTGAGCTGTTAGAGGGGTTAGGTTTGAGGCAGAGTTCAGATTGGTCAGCTGTAACATGAGGGGGCCAACTTGTTTGTGTTTTTATGTCCTGCCCAGTCCCCCCACTGCCACAAGTCCCAGACAAAATCAACCAAAGATCTCTATTAGTTATAAAGCTGTTTGGCCCATTAGGTCAGGCTACTTATTAGCTAACACTCATATCTTGATTAACCCATTTTTCTGATCAATGTTAGCCATGTGGCTCAGTACCTTTTTCAGCTGGCAGATCACATCCTGCTGCTTCGGTGATCTGGGCAGGAGTGGGAGGAATCAACTTCCTCCTTCCCAGAATTCTCCTGCTCTCCTTGCATCATTTCCACTTCCTGTCTGGTTTTCCTGCCTACACCTCCTGCCTGGCCAATCAGCATTTATTTAAAACATGATTGACAGAATACAGACAATTCTCCCGCACCAGTCAGCATGACTTACCAACATGACATAACTTAAAAAATAATTATTACTATATGTTCTTACACTTATTAATGTCATCTCTAGTCTTCATTAAGACTTAGTTTTATTTATTTATCTTTTACATCTATGTGTGTGTGTGTGTATGTGCGTGCGTGCGTGTGTGCATGCATACACATGCACGCTCCTGTGGAGGTCAGAGGGCACTTGTAGGAGTTAGTTTTCTCTTCTGCCATCATCTATACCAAATTCAATTTCATTTCTATATATTAGCAGTGAACAATTTAAAAGTGCAATGAAACAAACAATCCCATTTTATTGTTACTAGAATAATTAGAAAGAAATAAAGTTAACCAGAGAAGCATAAAAATTTAATACTGAAACCCCCAAAGTTTGATTGGTAAAAGAACCTAAATAAAGGGAATGACGCCTTGTTCATGAACTGTCAGTACCCCGAATAGTTTTTAAAGGTTCAGTATGATGCATGCTAGAGTTCAGTGAACTTTCTTGCAGAAGTGGACACTGGTGTAAAATTCACATGTGGGATTTCAGGAGATCCCAAATAACCAAAACTGCCCAGAGAAGTTTGATGGTAGCAATCAGGCAGTATGATACTGGAATAGGGGACAGATATAGAACAGTGGTTTTAGAGAGAGTCCAGAAATGATATGTACATTTATGATTAGTTAATCCCCAGCAAGGCGACTAAGGTCGTTCATTGGGAAGAAACACTGCCTCTTTACATGGCACTGCACAGCTGGGAATCAACATGCAAGGATGTGAGAGGTGAAACTCTTAGAGCAGGCTCTGAGGTTAGCTGTGCAGTACCTGTGCCTCTGATTTACCTTGTCATCAGCTCTTCTCCAGTGCTTTGCAGAGAGCTGCTGCTCAAAGTGCGCTTACCAAATTAAATGACAAAGCTAAAGTATCAAGAATATTCTCATCATCGGAAACTTGCTTAGGTGTCTTCTCTGTGTGTATCATCACCACAGATGTGAGTATGCTCCTGGGTCTCTTCTTTCACCAGTATGGAGTCGAGGGGGAGAGAGATGTGTTTTTCCCAGCTGCATGCAGTTGTGATTTGTGGATCTATAATTTGGACCTGAAACTAGACTAGTAACTGTCACCTTGACCATTACCCCTGACAAGATGAATTCATAGCCTGTATTGTTTAGGTACGGCTTCAGCTTGACCAGCTCCAGTGGCATCAAACCCAGTGTTCCAGAGAGCTGCTGTACTGAAACTTGCATTAGTCAGAAAATCTTTTCATCTCATTGTCTGTTTGCTTCACCAAAAGTCATGCATTTGAAATAATAAAACAGCCTCTCTGAGTTCTAAATCGTTGGTCAACAGGCACATTATTTACAGACCCTTTTGTGGAGGTGTGTCTTAGTCAGTGTTCCATTCCTGTGAAGAAACCATGACCATGGCATCTTTTTATTTATTTATGTTGTTGTTATTATTATTATTATTATTATTATTATTATTATTATTATTATTATTATTATT